AATGGGGTCGTTTTTCAACCCGCGGACATGAAAAACAACCCGCGGCAACAGTGTTAAGCAGCCCAATTCCGCGGGAAAACCGCAGACTTGGCAACACTGGAAGAGGATAGTTTTCGGATAGCGCATCAAGAACCGGGCTGACCGGGTACTCGGTACCACCGGTACTTAAAAAAACCTGGTACCGTAACGTTTTCACGTTTTTGTAACGTTTCGTACTGGGTCTTTTGACAACACTAGAGTAAATGTATATACCAAAACTGCTTAAAGTCCCCATGAAATCAAAATGAAAGTTTTTTGGGTGTTAGTATCAATATGTTAGTCTTAAGGTTATCTATAAGGCAGTGTGCTCCAAAACAGTGACAAAATTCGCATTTAGAAGATATAAGCATTCAAAGCTTGCCGTTCGTCACTTCCGCCAAAACGGCTCAACGATTTTTTTGACGTCACATCGTACTTCAGCTTCTCGTCAAATGTTCCGTCCAGTCAAATGCTCTCTAGAATCCGAAGCGCCCGCCCCCTACACTATAAAATAGACGCTGAAGCCGCGGCTGAAATCGGTCACTTGTCCACAGAATTAGTATTTTCTGTACAGTGAATGGCACGTAGTGCACTATATAGGGGACAGGGAACGATTCAAACAGTGTAAATATGCTTTCCATTGAGGAAAAAAAGAAGTCTGGTTTGGCGCTGTGTCACGCTAACCACCGCACCGCACACACACTCTGCTCCGGTCCAGAGACACAATAGCACGGAGCGGATCACATGCGCGAGTCGACGCAGACCACAAAATGTATCGGAGCTATTTGAATTCTACACAGAATGCTATATTTTATAGCAATATGGATGAGATTGTGGCTGGCATACCCTGTCAAATGCGGCTTTACGGAGCTCAACGGCTCTGAACAGCTCTAGCCCAAGCTGTGATATAAACGAACGCTATTGGCTATTTTAAAAAGGGGTGGGGCTGCTTGATATGTCCTGCCCTGTCTTTCTGTTTCAGTTCAAATGACGTCAACACATAGAGTAACGCTGCGTGTTTCTAAGCATTTCAGGGGACCTTTAATGAAGTACATCAGGGCAACAAACAGGACTATTTTAGCTCACCCTAACTTATACTGCAATATATGTTTCCGCCCATCCCTGTGCTCTTGAGGTATTGATGCTAGACAAATATGTCTGGAAGGTTTACAGTGGTATGTTTTCCCACCTAAATAAAGCTGTGGTGATGTTAGCTGTAACCCTGCTGTTCCTCACTAAGCTTTGTTTCATCACTAATGTCACCTGATCTGTCAGCAGCTGTGACATCATCACTTCCCTCTGAAATACCACCCTACAGGTCCAATGCCACACATCAGATGCTTGTCTAATACTCTTTTGACTTCACAGTGGGGAAAATAGATGTATTTTAATGTCAAATATTTGTTTTTAATATCAAATTTGAGAGATTTTTCAGATAGTGATCTTTTTTTATTTGCAATTTTAATGAATGGCTTTAAGTCAAGCAACAATAGTACTCTAAAATTCATATTTGAGATTAGTGATTTATAATTTGCAAATAAGAGATTTGACTCAAAATTGAATCTGGTCAATGCGAAAATGTGCAGAAAAAATCTCACAGACATACACTGCAGTTCAAAAGATTTTTAATGTTTTTTTAAAGAAGCTTCATCAAGTTTCATTAAGGCTGCATTTATTTGATTAAATTATTATTAAATTAATTGCAATTTAAAATAACGGTTTTCAATTTTAACATACTTTAAAATATAACTTATTTCTGTGATCAAAGCTGAATTGTCAGCATCATTACTCCAGTCTTCAGTGTCACATGATCTTCAGAAATCATTCTAATATGCTGATTTATTATCAATGTTGGAAACAAGTTGTGCTGCTTAATTTTTAGTTTTTTTGGAACCTGTGATACTTTTTTAAAGTTAAAACGAACAGCATTTATATAAAATAGAAATATTTTGTACCAATACACTACCGTTCAAAAGTTTGGGGTCAGTAATTTTTTTTTCTTTTTTTTTTTTTAAAGAAATTAATACTTTTATTCAGCAAGGATGCGTTAAATTGATAAAAAGTGATAGTAAAGACTTATATTGTTAGAAAAGATTTCTGTTTTGAATAAATGCTGTTCTTTTTAACTTTCTATTCATCAAAGAAATCCTGAAAAAAGTATCACAGGTTCCAAAAAATATTAAGCACCACAACTGTTTCCAACATTGATAATAAATCAGCATATTAGAATGATTTCTGAAGATCATGTGACACTGAAGACTGGAGTAATGATGCTGAAAATACAGCTTTGATCACAGGAATCAATTATATTTTAAAGTATATTAAAATAGAAAACATATGTCATAATATTACTGTTTTTTGTTCTTTATTTTTTAATTAAAAAATGCTTTGATGCGCATAAGAGACTTCTTTAAAAACATTAAGAATTTTACGGCAGTGTACATTAACTTAGGGTCCCAAGTCATATCTAGAGACCACAATATCACATGGATACTTTTGATTTGGGCCACCTAGCAACCACCCATAACACCCTAGCAATGCACTGAAAACATTCTGGTATCAAGTCTTGCAGAGGCAAACATCACTTAGACTTCAGAACAGAAGAAGTAAAAATATAATGCAATAGTTTACATTTAGAAATCTTTGGTTTGCATGCTACTGTGTTTTATTAATAAAACTGTTGAGATGTACTTGTTCATCGAGGTGGTGAATAACTGTAGGTTCCCGGTGCTGTTTTTAAAGTTATTTTAGAGATGTCAGAAATAGCAGAAACCGTTGGCCGTCTCTGTGTACAGACGAACAGTGGGGCGTCAGTGTCAAGAAATGAATAACAACTGTAAATATAACTTCAGCCTGCATCTTTATGCCTTGGATAGAGAAAGCTAAACTCAGGCCTGAAGCTCTTCTTCCCGTCTGATCTTAGTTTTCACTTGAACTGTACATCACTTTTATTTTATTTAAGTATATGATTGGACCATTTTTTGTGGAATTATATTGTTTCTGAATGAACGATGTAGGACTGTGACAGGCTTTCATTAATTTATTTTGTGATTTACAGTGTCCCACAGTCATAGCAAGTGGAATTATATATCAAATTGTGATTTCTTGGCCTGTAGAAATATTTGAAATGATTAAAAATCTGATAATATTTCCTGTAATTAATATAATTTTTTTATGCTTTGAAAATTTATTATATTCAGTATATAATATTAAGTAGATTAAGATTAAGTGGTTGTTAAGCACATTTACATTAATTATATTTCTTTGCATCTAAAATATTTTGAGCTGAATAAATCACAGAAATTGTTGTTTGTTTGTTTGAGAGCTATTAAAAATGCTAGTACAACATTACCTTTGAATTATTTATGTATTTATTTGTTTGTTTGTTTTTATTTTGTAATAATCCTTGTCCAGTAATCATGCCTAGAAAAGTCAGTTATAGAAACTCATTGATCAAAACGTGGATTTACAGTTGTATTGGAATTGAACGGCAATATCAGAATTGAACATAGATATTTATCACAGTGTCTTTTTGTTTAACTGTCATGCATTCATTAACTGATCTGATCATTCGACTCAGCATCCATGTCCTTGTCTTCCTCTCAGAGTAAGGAAGGGGCATTCACGCTGTCTGCTATGACCTCTGGGATACGTCGGAACTGGATTCAGGCCATTCTGAAGAACATGCGGCCCACCGTCGCTCCTGATGTCACACGGTGAGCTTCTACATCATGTTTAGTGTGAAAAGGACAAAAAAAAGGAGAGAACATCAAACATTTATACATTAAACTTCCCTCAGTGAATTAATTGGAATAATCTTTATTATAAAGGTAAAGTGTGTCATTTCTGCACCTCTATTGACAACAATTGGTTGTTTCAATCTATTCGACTGGCATAACGACAACACTGGCTCAATCAATGCTGTGAGTTTGGAGTGGGACTACTTGTTTGGCCGTCCAGTGTGTTGCAGCTAGTGGCACAGAAATTACAAATTTCACCTTTAAGGATCAACAACCTTACATAAACAGTACATGCTTACCATAAAGCATTTGAACACGTCAACGAACAGTTTTTTTCCTCCTAAATCTCATAAATTATACTTGCATTTAAATGGTTCCTCAAACTCCACTGTTTTTGTTTGTAGATATTATTTCTCTTTTCTTCTGTTCCTAACTTACCTGTATAATTTGTTTTTTTTGTGTTTTTCCTGCTCCGGCAACAGGAAAAACGTGTCTCTGAAACTTTCAGTTCTTATGCCCAGGTTGGCATTTCCAGTTCTTATTCTAACCTGTGTGTGTGTGTGTGTGTGTGTGTGTGTGTCCGCTGTTATGTCAGATGTGCTTTCGTGATGTTCTGGCTTCTGTCTGTTATGGCAGTAATTCCTTCTACTGTTCGCCTGTGTTGTTTGCCAGTTTGCTCTGTTTATAATGAAGCTGTTAATTTAGCGTGTTTTTTTACAATTATGGAGATAAATGGAGTAGAAGAGCCTTTGCAATGTATGCTTGGTTATTTTGGAGTTGTTACACCACTGCTTTGTTTGTGTGTGGCCAGATAGTTTATGATAGTGGTGTTGATGTTTTGTTTTGGGTTTTCAATTTTTGAGATGGTTTAACGGCATTACATTTATTTGCGTGTTAATGCATTTAACACGTTTGCCTAATTTGACATTCATGCTGTTTCACACCACATGCTAACCAGACGCAAGACGATAAAGTGATATGTGTGAAATCCTGTCTGAACGAATGGACATTTTGTCAGCTTCACACTGGATAGACCTATATTACACCTCTTAATTGTGGACATTTAGCAAAGCTAAAGTCATTTGGAGTCTTCGTAATGCAGAATTTGGTTGTCAGTCATCTATTTTTGGATGATACTTTTTATTTTAGGCCAAAAGTAATAAAAAAAGATCCAATAATAAAATCATCCAACTGAAAAACACTTTTAATGAGGCAAATTTTGTTGTAATATTTTCCATAAAAGAAGGAATTTAATGCATTAAAACTGGATTCAATTATTGGCGGGTAGTTAAGTTAGGCTGGAACAGCGCATTTTGAAGATCACAACTCGCCAGTGTCTCTCCATCTCTTGTGATGTTATACCACCTCCTTCTTGAAAGGAGATGAAAAATAGCATTGCATCAGTGCCCATTTTTAGGCACACATGAGTGTTTACTGACGTGCTTGACAGTGGTTGAATGCCATGCAGTGACCAGATGGTTTTCCTCACCCTACTAACCATTAATCAAACCATCCTGTCTTCAGCAGTTTGGGTATGTGTTTTTAGACAGCTGTATCACATTTCTTTTCTTTAACACAGTGTGTGTTTCACAACAAAATTATGTCCACAGATAAGGAATAATTCAGATTTTCCCACAATGCCATGTGCCACAATTCTTTGTGATAAAATACATATTGAGGTAGTAGCTGTGATGCTTGCCTTAGCAAACACCACTAATAATTCAGATACTTAATGTATTGATTCAGTATCTTCTCACCTCACAGTTCCCTTCCAGAAGAGCGAACCAGATCAAATGTGGAACAAAACTACATCCAACCCCCTTCTAACTCTTCGCAACTCTCTAACAGCTCTGTATTTGAAGCTAAAAAGTTGCACGAGGACATGACAGACTCTGCGCCTCCTTCCGATCACCGTAAGAGCCGAGTCAACAAGCGGGAGGGACGGTCTAAAACCTTCGACTGGTCCGAATTCCGCCCAGGGCAGGAAAACGAGAGCGGACAACCCTCAATAAAGAGGGCAGATACTTCTGTCATTATCTCATCTTCTCCCTCCTCCACCTCCTCTGCTGCCTCCTCTTCCATCTCTAGCACCTCCTCTCATCAGACGTCATCCTCGATTACTACCACCAGCCATACTGACAAGTTGCCACTGCGAGATGAAGAAGTCATGCAGGATTATATACACCACAATCAGACTGCACCTACAGCAGGTGGAGTCAATGCGACGACGGTGGCGGAGCCCCCATCAAAGCTCCCCCATAAAGTGCCACAGGAACAGGTGAGAATGGATGTAGACAATGCCAGAGACACGCAGGAGGTCGATAGTCAAAGTACGGCCCACAGAAACTCTGACGTCCAAGTGGAAATTGAGCAGAGGTGGCATCAGGTAGAAACAACGCCCCTCAGAGAGGAAAAGCAGGTACCGATCACTGGCAGCTCAAATGTACCTGTTGGAGAAAGAGTCCTTCCACAAGAGCTGACCACTGCACTGGAAAAAGAGGTAAGAAACATCAGTATCTATTTCTTGCCTCATTTTCCATCATAAAATGTTAATGAGTATGTGCAGGTGCAGATTTTTTTTTTTTTTCTTGAGTTTTTTTTTCGTTCAGATCAGTTCTGAACATTGTATAATTTCCACATTCAGATCTTTTTGCTTTCCTCTGATGCCCACAGTTAGGTCAGGCACAAAGGGAGCTGGCAAGACTCCAGCAGCAGAACAGCATCTTACAGGAGCAACTTCAGGATGCTCGTGGGAGAGAGCAGAGTGCCAGGGAAGGATACGTACTGCAGGTACCCAATCAGATCAACTGAACCTAGTCAGAAAAGATACAGCAATCAAAATCTTATGTAGTTTTTGTGTTTGTGTCTCTTGCTTTTTTTTATTTCAATACTAATATAATTTTTGGGGTGTTAATGAAACTCTCAGCATGAGTGGTACTAACTGATCTGCAGTGTCTGTCTTTCCCTGGGCTCTGACTGGGTTTTGGTTAAAATTCTTGTAACCAAACCACAAGTTTGCTGAAGATAAAAATGTAAACATCTGACAAGCTTTCAGCTGTGCTTTTTCTTTTTGTATCCGTTTCATCTCGTAATTTTCTTTTTTGCATAATTTGCATGGTGGTACCATTCCTGTTATTCATTTATCTTTAGTTGCTGTATAATAATCTGGTGTAGTGTTACTCCATTTGTTTCTTCCCCCTTCTCTTGTTTCCTCTTGTATTTTTTTCTGTACAGTTCTATTTGTATTATCCATCAAAACATGGTTGCATTTCATAGGTGCATTCTGTAGTTCCACAGCCTCTTTAGATCACCTTTTTCCCTTTGTAATTGTGTTGTTCACATTTTTCCTTCATTTTTGAGCACCATTCTCTCCATCTCTGATGCCATCTTGAAAAAGCACAGTGGAAAGCTTGAGCAAGTATGTAACTTCAGAATTGTATCTCCAAATGTTCCCGGGTTCCCAGCCACAGCCCAGATGATGTTGAGCATCATGTGTGTGGCCATAAATGAGGAGGCTTCCTCTTACTAATTGCACTTTGCTCTTAATCTCTTAAAGAGTGACACAACCGCTGCAAAGACTTCGTCTGATGCAGCGTCTGCCTCGGTTCACCGAGCACCATGGCAGCGCCTCAGCAAGCTGAACCAGGATCTAAAGTCCGAGCTGGAGTCCCAGCACCGGAAGCAGAATAAGTCCAATCATCAAGTTAGCAGCTTGCGGCGTAGCTACAGCGAAGCGAAAGATATAATAGGACACCATGAGGCGGAAATCGAGGCCTTAGAGGAAAAGCTAACGGCTGCCATGGCAGAGATTGTAGTAAGCGAGCAGGCTGTGGCACGAATGCGTAGCGAGCTAAAAATTGAGCGGGTTCGCTGTCAAGAACGTGAGGAAGAATGGGTCCGAAATGAGACGACGTTGCGGTCACAGCTACGAGAGAGCGAGGACCGTCTTCGGCAAGTCGAGGCTAGTTTGCTAGAGAAGAACCAGAAACTGAGACAGCTCGAGCAGCAGCAAGCTTTGCAGAGGGACCAGCACAAAGAGGTGCTGAGACTACAGGAGAGACTCGCTGAGGCCACTGGACGTCTGATTTCCATGGAGGAAGCTCAAACTATGAGAGAGGAGAGGGAGAGGAAAGAGCAGCGAGGCCTGGAGGAGAAACACGAGCGGGAGCGGCAGGGACTGACCCGGAGATTGGTGGAATCCGAAGAGAGGAGGCGTGAAATAGAAGAGCAATTGCAAGAGGCACAAGAACAAGTGGAGGCACTGCTGAGAGGGAGCGGTGGGATGGAAACTGTGGGACTCAGTGAGGAAGTTCATCGTCTTCAGCAGGAGTTGGAGGCACAGACGGATATGATGGAAATGCTGCGGGAGAGTGTGAGGAGGCTGGAGGAGGAACGTGACCAGCTTACTTGCCGCTGTCAGGAACTCCTCAATCAGATTGCAGAGGCTGACCGAGAGGTAGGAAAGCAACAGGCCTGTTTAACGACGGTGGAAATAGACTATAACTCTCTTGAGAGCTCGTATGACCGTGTCTCAGAAGAATTTGCTAGGATAAGTCATGTGCTACGAGAGAAGGAAGAGGAGGTGAAGCAGACAAAGGAAATGTACGAGCAGCTAATCAGACAGAAGGAGCAGGACTTGAGCGAGGCCCTCATCAAGATGGCTGCCTTAGGCAGTAGTCTAGAAGAAACAGAACTTTGCTTGCAGCAGAAAGAGGAACTTCTTTCTAAAATGGAGCATGAGTTTCCAGGACTGGTAGAGTCCCGAAAAGTGGAACAGGAGCTTCAGGCAAAACTGGTGATTGCAGAGGATCGGATTGCTGAGCTGGAGGAACACCTCAATGCCCTGCGACTCGGATATGCAGATCTCAGAATGCGACGTTGTCGCTCACAGGAAGACCTGCTTGATGGTTTGAAAGAGATGCAACATGATGTTTCCTCATCCTCAAGTACCTCCCAACTTCTGCTTGCAAGAAGCAGCTCAGAGACGGAAATGTCCTTGGTAAAGTGCCAGAGGATTCGCTTTTCCACCATTCAGTGCCAATCCTATCACCGGTCCCAGGGAGCAGACAAGTTTCAGACAGAAAATACATCTTTGGATCTGACGCAAGATCTGAGCCTAGACCACATGCATGACCTGAGCCTGACCCAAGATAGCAGTGTAGTCAGTGACAGTTCATTCCAGCAGTGCAGAGATCCAGAGAAGTTCATCTCCATTATACATGCTCTGGAAATCAAGCTATTGGCCACAGAGGAGAAGCTCAGGCACCTCACAGAGAAGATAAGGGACCAGCCCGATCTTTCATCGATGCAGGAACACCTGAGCACCAAAGCTACCATGGAGGATTGCACAACTAAAACCTGTGAAGAATTACCAATGGATGAACTCAGTCAGAAATTCCTCAACAAGACTTTTGGTGAGCAGGACAGTGATGAATATGAGAAGGCATTGGCATTGGTAGAGTCTTGCACAGAAAGAGTCAGAGAAATTCTCAGCAATCAGAAAGAGACCAGTTCTGTTGAATCTCTCATTTGTACCCTTGCAGAAGTAGAGAAACGGCTGGTTTGTGCCACCATGTACCTGAGAAAGGGCAGCTCATTCTATGAGTCCTGTCAGATCTTTGCACCAGATGTGCAATCAGTGAAGGAAAGTATAAAGCGGTTTGCCAGAACGTTAACCTTTGAGGCTGAGGTTCTGGAGAAGATGGGGTTCTCTCTGGAAGACCTGAACTCTGATATTATGTCAGCCCTGAACTCCATTCACAAGGATGCTGAAAACATCAAGACGAACTGCGATGGTTGTCTCTCAGTTGTTTATACTGATGTACTTACAAGAAAACTTATACTGGAAACCATGTTCTTGGCAGAGCTGGACAAGCTTGAGACGAGTAAACTATCAAATAGTGCTTTTTCACAGGATGTCATCAAGAATGCCTGCATTAGTGCCGAGCTTGCCTATTCGCTTCAGAATATAACAATGAATTTCCAGGAAGAATTCAGTGAGCTTCAGAAGGACTTGCTCCAGGCGAACGAGACCTTGAAACAAAGGGACATGGCTCTGAAAGATGCTGTTAGCGCATCAAAGCGTGCTCACATTGAGAGCATGACCCAAAGTAATACTGATTATCTTGCTGACTTCGCCCCTCCTGAACTTGTCCCATATATGGAGCAGATTGAGATTGAGGAAGCTCAGAGTTTAGCAGCAGAGATTGTCCGTAGACATTTAGCAGGCGGCATGGTATCCCATAGTGCAGAATCGGAATCTCATCTGAAAACAAGCTGGGAAAATCTTATTGCTGAGCTCAAAAAGCAAGCAAAAGCCCTCCGCGGTCTCTCTCAGGAAATTGAGAGGATCTGTGAAGGAGAAGGAGAAATGGATTCACTTTCTGGACTTGCGGATGCCATCCAGATGAGCTCGTGGTGCGATGACTCCAGTGCCGTTTGCATGCGAGAGGCTTTGATGCAGGCGCAGGTCGCATATGTTGCTTGCAAGTTGCGAGCGGGTCACACAAGGGAACTTACTCTCTGTCAGGAGACTAGCCGCAACATGTCAGTGCTCGTCCAGGAACATGCTGAGAGTGTTGCAGCCATCCAAAGGCACTACCAGAGCTGCTTGGAGAAAGAACATCTTAGCTTCACTGGCACTATCAGTTCCTTGCAGGAGGAGAATGACATGCTTCGAGCGGAACTATCCTATAAGCTCAGGGAGCTCCAGGAGCAACGGCAGAACTTAACCCAGCTGGAAGAGGCATTTCATATGGAGAAAGAAGAGCTCAAGAGCAGGCATGCAGATGAGATGGGAAGGGCTGAGCAGGAGCAGATAGACAGAGAGCTCAAACTAATGGAGTGTGCCGCCAAAAGCCAACGCCGACTGGAGACCCTGCTGCTAGAAATGGAAGATGCTGAGTTGAGGCACAAGGAGCAAATCCGAAAACATGAGCAGGAATTTCAGGGTAAGCTCCAGGAACTAGAACACACCAACAGAGAGGAGCTCCGCAAGCTACAAGAATGCTACAGCCAGACTATCTGCTCGCTGGAGGAGAGAAGCGAACAAGTGGAGAACAAAGATGAGGCCGACGCATGTCCCATGGAGGAAGGGGATGGATCTGATCAGGTAACGTGCAGGGAGTCCCTGCTCCGAATCCGGGAGCTGGAAATGCAGTTGAGCAGCATGAGGGAGGAGCTGGAACAGAAACCACTGGATGGAGATCTGACCAGCCTGAAGGAGAAGTACCAGCGAGACATGGACAGCCTCAAGGTTTAACCTTTCACTTTTCAAATTTAAAGTCACACCCATTCACCACCATGGCGCCATGTTTGTAGGACCCTCAGTAATTTGTTGCTGTTAGTTTGGGTTGCAGTGGTTTTAGTTGATCATTTTGGGAGTATTTCTTATTGCATTTGTTTATACAAGTTGCAGAAACGGTGCACATTTCAAATTACAAATCTTCACTATGATTTATTATATATATATCAAGTGTTTTATGCTTCTTGGATTTTTGAAAATAATGCTGAGATGACCACTGCAACCCTGTAGCCGCATAACCGTGATGCTTTCCCCTTTTTTCCTATGCTGTAGTGCACTTTAGCAGCACTGGGAGTCTTGAGCACACAATGAATATACACGACCATGATTACAGACAAACCTATTACAAATTACTATACTGTGCTCAATGAGGACTTCCTCTGTTCAAAAACACCTTGTGTTTTTAGAGTGTTAGCATTGTGTTAGTGTGAGAGTTTGAATGCATGAATTCTCTCTAGTTAACCGCTATCAATCATGCTGCTTTCCTTTCACTCCTTTGTGCTAACTGTCATCTCTCATCACATGAGCAAATGTTTGAATATGTGAACACCATAGTTGGTGTAGCTCTGTAGAGAGTCGGGCTGGGTAAACATTGGTTTTCTGAATAATTTCTTTCTTTGTGCAATTGGATTATATTTGTTAAAATCATTTCCTTTTCAGTGAATGCATTAACAGACTCCAAAATTGACTAATAAAGTGTGAAAAAAATGAAAAAATAGGCTTCGCTGAGTAAAGTATTTCACCATCAAGCCTTAATGTTTTAGTAATGCACCAAGACATAATGAACTGAATCTGAATACAAATTGAATGGAACCAGGGAATCAATTACAGATACCCAGCCCTAGTAGAGAGCCTGCTGAAGTAGAGATAATATGCTTGGTGTTTGTTTGCATATGCAATCTGATGTTTTATGTGGAATGCAGGCGACATGCGAGCGTGGATTTGCAGCGATGGAGGAGACGCATCAGAAGGTGATCGAGGACATCCAAAGGCAGCATCAGCGAGAGATCCGGAAACTTCTGGAGGAGAAAGAAAGACTGCTGGAGGAGGAAACAAATGCCACTATTGCTGGTAATGAATGCATCACTGTATATAAAATACACCAAATTTCCGAATTTGAAAGTAAATTGCTTATGGTTTGTTTGTCGCTGCAAATTGCAGTCAGTGTGAACGGCACTTAAAGTGTGTCATGTATAATGAAACATTATATCTAGCTCTATAATAAATGTGTCTGCACAAGTTTAATGTCATGGAATTGAAGCATCACAGTAGGTTATTTTGTGTACAGCAATTGAAGCCATGAAAAACGCTCATCGTGAGGATCTGGAGAAGACGCAGCGGTCGCAGATGAGCGGTGTGAGTGCAGACATTCAGGAGCTGCACAGACAGTATGAGTAAGATGCCAAACATCACTTATCTAACCAAATCATTGACTAGTCACTAGGAAGATTTACTTCTATTCATGATGCTTTTTACCAAGCGAATGGAAGTTTTGACGTGTGTATTTTTACATTTTGCCCATGTAGAGAGGAGTTGCAGTCTATCCATCGTGAGCTGGAGGTTTTGTCTGAGCAGTATTCTCAGAAGTGTTTAGAAAACGCACATTTGGCTCAAGCGCTGGAAGCGGAGAGACAGGCACTAGGACAGTGCCAGCGAGAGAACCAGAAACTGCATATACACAACCAGGTCAACATGAACTTATTGAAAACATGCATTTTTCAAGAGGAACAGCTTGATAAAGAGAAAAAAATGTCTTATTATAATTTACAAGTTTATATAAATAATAATTAAATAATAAATAATTTTCTAGGGGTTGTAAATCTTAAAGGGGTCATATGATGCGATTTCAAGTTTTCCTTTCTCTTTGGAGTGTTACAAGCTGTTCGTGCATAGATAAGATCCCTAAAGTTGCAAAGACTAAAGTCTCAAATCCAAAGAGATATTTATTAAACAACTAGAAATCAGTGGTTAAGTTGTATTTACAACACTGTTCCAGAACAGTTCAACCCAAATATTCGTGTGTGTGCAACGCATTTAAAGGAGGACTGTTTCCTGAACCTACAATGCCGGCTGCTCTGACTCACAATCTGTAAGTATGTTTTCATATTTAAAGAATTTGCCGAGTAGCGCTTGTTTTTTGTTGTTTCTCCGATCACAAATGCAGACAAATGTTTTTGTTTACACAGCGCGATACGCAACTCAATGCGTAAAAAGACAATATTATAAGTCATTATAATCCGTAATTATGTCCCCACTGGATGCAACAAATGCCTCGTTTATAATGGGTTTTAATGTTTTTGT